GTTTTGAAATAGGTTAGAAAATCCAAATTAAGAGATAATCATATAAACAATATTGTAAAATATCGCGTATAAGTATAAGCTAAGACAATAAATTTACTAAGAGCTTGAAACTGCTTATCAAAACATAAATATCTAGCTCAAGTGGCATATAACGACATACGTGTGATCCCAATGGCGATAATGATGTGGATAATCAGTACAAATACACAACACAAGAGCTTTCAATTTTCACTAGGGTTTCATTCCTTGCATACTGGTAGTGCATCATACAATTTGTTGTTGACAGGGTGGAATGATAGAATTACTCGAAACTCAAGTACAATTATCTTCTCTTATCTTTGTCAAAATTTGCATTAGTGGCGTTGCTGAATACGGATGACATTGTCCGTTGTAGTACTCTTTGATGGTCCAAAACCTCGTAAGATATTTTGGCATTTGTGATTTGCGGGTGAGTGGAAAGCCCGAAAGAGAATGGAATAACTAAATGAAGAGACAGCCCTAAATAATGGTACTGGTTGTTTGGGCCTTCTTCACCCCACTTCCCCTCTTTCCCCGGCCAAAATCCCTTCATGCTTTAGACTTTTTTTCTTTACCACTTATTATTGTTTCATTCACATTAGCTTGGTAGACCCATCAACTATATCAACTATGGGTCTGTGGTGTATACACCCACTGTTTTACAATAATTAACATAATTAAATTTACACACATAACGATATATTTAATCTTTCTTTTGTATAATTAAATATTAAAAAAACTAATATTACTATCGAATTATCAAACAATATATTTCATGATAAAAATTACATTTAGTCAAACTCTTAGTGTTTTGTAATGTGATATACGAAGTAGAATTGTGAAGGAGATTATGTAACGGAGTACACTCTTTATTCTCTCATTTCATACGTACAGTTTACTTGAAAATGGGCCTAATACTCAAAAGTTTCGATAAAATATTTTGGACATCTGAAGCACGATAATTTTGGGCCTAACCAAGTCAAAAGGCCCAAGTAAGCTTTCAGAGTAGAATCCAATAAATATAAAAAATATACTTGAGATTACGTGGGCGGGTCCCACTACTTTTACCTTGAAAATCTCGAAACTTCAGCAGGAACTGGAAAAATCTAGCCACGACAACCTGGGCACGGGCCGGGTTGGCCCGCGTGCCGCCCGGCACGGCCCGAATTCAAGCACGGCACGACATGAAGTTCAACTCCCGTGCCACGGACAGGGTTGAGAAGTCCCAGGCACGGCCCGGCACGAGCACGGGCATGGCCCGTCGTGCTGGCCCGCAGGCACGGCCCGCGGGCCAACGGTAATGTTACCGTTTATTCTAGCTCCATAATAAGCCAAAAAAACGGCTAGTTTTTTGCCAATTTGCTCCCCAAAAATTCTATAAATACTCACCTCCATTTCATTCCCAAATCACAAAATCACAATCTCTTCTTCTTATCTCTTATATTCTCTAAATCTCTAATAATCCTTATTTTCTTAAATTCTCTAATTATTCTCTTAAATTCTCTAATTATTTTCCTAATATCGGAAAAAATTAAAAAGTTCGTAATCATAATTAGTGGAGCGTTGAAGCACGGTTGTAAGATCTAAACTAATCTTAAATTTATTATTGTTTTATTGTTATTATTAGAATAATCTTGTTTAATTATTATTGTTGTTAATTGTTATTGTTGTTGTTATAATTGTTGTTATTAATTATTATTATTGTTACAATTGTTGTTATTATTTATTTTTGTTGTTATTGTTATAGTTGTTGTTATTAATTAATATTATTGATATTTTTATTGTTAAAATTGTTGTTATTAATTATTATTATTATAGTTAACCACTTTTTATTAAAAAATTAATTGTTAATTATGGCATCGAACAACCCATCATCTAGGTCTAGGGGGAAAGGCCGACTTATCCGTAGTAGTAGTTCTAGGGAACCACCAAATACAACGAGCCCCCAAATTACGAGTCAAACCAATGACCCCATTTACTTCCCCCCGGGCTATGAGCCATATAATACGTCGGGATTTCCAGCACCACCAATTTCCATCTAATTATATCGGTGATCAACAAAACTATTGTTCTAGCCAAGGTAGCCAAGAAAGTACCCGAATTCCCTCCGGTTCTACCCCTTCTACTGCCACTCCCACTAGTCTCACTACTAACCATCACACACATCATGAATGGTTAACCGAAACTGAGATGCTACTTTTGAAAAACCGAAGGAGTGAGGTATGGCGTTATTTTGTCCTAAGTAAAGATGGTGAACAATGGGCAAAATGTAAAACATGTAATAGTGTATTCACGACAGTTACCAAAAACGGGACAGGACACTTATCTAGACACATGAAAGCTTGTGCAAAACCAGCTAGTGATCCAACCCAGCCCAAAATTTCCCAATTCCATCCATACGGCTTTACATACAACTATGAGAGGGATAGGGATGAACTAGGAAAAATGATAGTACACGCCGAACAGCCTTTTCTTTTCTCGGAAAGTGACGCATTCAACACCTACATTAACAAAGCACTACAACCCCAACATAAAAGAATCTCTAGGAAAACCGTTCGTTCCGCCGCAATGAAAAATTTCCTAGAGTACAAAGTCCGGTTACAAGCCGAATTGAGTAACCTTAACTGTAGAGTATCTTTAACAGCCGATTCTTGGGATAGTGGTTATAAATATCACTATTTATGTGTGACTTGCCATTGGGTAGATGATCAATGGATGTTACAAAAAAGAATAATACATTTCAAAATGCTGGAATACCCACACACCGGCATTAACATTGCTCACCATTTAATGCAAGCAATAGACGAATACAACCTTCGAGATAAAATGATGTCTATGACTTTTGATAATGCAACCTCTATGACATACACAGCTAATCTTATCAAACAAAACTTAACCGATGTACTATTAGACGGTGAAGCTCTTCATACTAGATGTGTTTGCCATGTACTTAACTTATGTGTACAGGATGGAGTTCGGGCAATTGGCCCATACTACAGCAAAATCAGAGATGCTATTATGTCTATTAATAGCTCTAACATGAGATACCAAGAATGGAAGAGTTTTCTAAAACAACAAAAGATAAGGGTAATAAAAATTAGAACCGATTGCCCAACTAGGTGGAATTCCACCTATGACATGTTAACAAAGGCAATTGAGTACAAGGGCCCGTTAACATTATTTTACAACCAAAAATTTCCACAAAATGCTTTGTATGATGATGATTGGAAAAACTGTGAAAGATATATGCAATTTTTACAGTTATTATATAACATGACGTATTGTTTTTCTACTGTTTACAATCCTTGTGCTCAAAACTTTCTTTCTAATGCATGCTTACTCGCCCAACTTTTCGCTGATCATCGCCATCAAAGTGATTATGATCAGTATCTTCCAGCAATGGAAAAAAAGTGGCGTAAATATTATAGTGAGATTCCTTTGATTTATATTTTTTCTTCCATATTAGATCCTAGGCAAAAGTATGAAAACACATTTATGTTAGTTGACATTTACTTTCAATGCATGTTTCTTGACGATGATGTAGAAAACTATAAGACTAATGTGAAGGATCAGTTTTTTGCTTTATATAGAGTCTATGAAGCCAAATATGGCACCGTTCCTCGCTCAGGATCTTCCCAACCATCCAAAAACGTAAGTAAGAAGGCCAAACATTTATTTTCACAAGCTACTAACTTGATTTCAAGGTTTTCAGGTGATTCATCAATCAGGAGAACGCAAAGCGACGTCTCGGAGTTGCGGATGTACCTGAGTTACGACTTCACCAAAGGCATGGACGACGATGAGATAAACAGCCTCGACCTCCTTGCATGGTGGAAACAACAAAGCTCGAAGCATCCAACTTTGGCGGCAATGACACGAGACATTCTTGCTATCCAAGTTTCCTCCGTCGCCTCCGAACGAGCTTTCAGCGCATCCGGAAGGGTTTTAGACGATAGAAGAACAAGTCTAAAACCAGAAACACTAGAAATGTGCGTGTGTTTCAAAGATTGGTTGGATGCGGAAAATCGCTCACAAGACCGTTCTTACGACCACAACGACAACGAAGAAGGAACCTCCGCTTCCGGTTCGGGTTCGGCTAGTTCCCAATCTATGCAACTAGCCGATGACCTTGAAGGGGAAGGCGAAGACGAAGACGAAGACGAAGACGAGCAAGAAGAAGGAGAAGAAGAATAGACAATTATTGTATATTGTACGATTTTAAAAATATCAATTTTATCATTTTTCAATTTTTGTTTAATACCATCATTGTATGATTTTTATCATTGTTATCATTGTACAATTTTCTCAACTCAAGTAATAATAATATAAAGTACGCATTATTCACATCCAAAGTCCAATTTGCCTTTTTTCCCCGTTTTGTTACAATTTGTAAATTCATATTAAAAAAAAAATAAAATTATACCAATTACTAATAAATCATAAACATTAAATTTTAAAGTAATAGTATAAAGTAAATATATAAATATAAATATTGAATATACAAATTATAAAACATAAATATTCAACTTATAATTATAAAATTCATAACTTAATAACTTATAACTTATAAGTTATAACCTTATAAAACTTATAATTATAATTTTATAACTTATATACATTATAAACTTATTAATTTATAATGTTGTTATATAAAAAAAAAAAAAAAAAAAAAAAAAAAAAAATTGAAAACTGCACCAGCCCGCAGGTCGGCACGGCACGAGCCCGCCAGGCACGAGGGCCGTGCCGTGCCGTGGGCTGGCCTGTGCACGGCACGACACGAAATCCTGGGCCCGCCGGCACGACCGGCACGGCACGAACCAGCCCTGGCCCGCCAGGCACGGCCCGCGGCGGCACGGCCCGGTGCCCAGGATTAAGCCACGTGTAGATGCCTACACTCCACGTGTTGAAAAGTAGTAGGACGTGGCATTGTCTTGAGCATTCTAGCGTCCAGCAATTAAATTTCGTTACCCCTCAATAAGAAACTTTTTAAACTCGATTAAAACATAGAAAAAGGTATAAACAAAGATCAAAAGAAAAGAAAGGGAATGAATCACGCAATTAAATTAGGTCGATTGAGCTCACAAACTTTAATATTATCATCATCTTCTGGTTTATCATCAGTAACTAGCAGAAAAGGAGTTGGTAGTGTGAGATTGGTTCAAGTTAGTATTGGTAAAGATCCTAAGTCTGATTTTCGCAACATGGACAAGAACACCAAAAATCCTGATCAAGAGGATAAGGATGTGTAAGTATTCTTTCTTTGATCTATTTTCTTTATATTTTGTTCTTATTTTGTTGATTGAGATATAATTTTTATAATACACTTCGGTGTATGTGTGCACGACGGCACATATGGCAGAACTTGTTTGCACGTGTTACCTTATAACAGGTATTAGAGTACTACCTTCGTAACTCCGTTTCTTTTTAGTTGACACATATTAAGTTTTTTTAGTTGATACATTTCCTTTTACCTTGCATTTACAAGTTACTCCACTTGCTTCTTCACTTCATCTCCTCTCCTTAATATATGTGCTTAAATCAAACACGTTAACAAAAAAAGAAACGGAGGAAGTATTACATTATCCCTATGTATTCTTATATACTGGAGGTAGTATATGTACGTGGGTTGAATTAAATATATTTTGTGGTTGATTTGATCTAATAAAATGTTGTGAGAGTTTTGGCTTATATTTTGTTATATATGTATGGGTTTGGAACAGGAATGCGATGGAGGAGTCATTTGGACAAGGATATTCTACAAGGAGTAATGACGAAGGGTTTGGAGGAATTTACGGTGGCAACGACGAATTCGCCGATGAGGCCGGCAATGCTGAGATGAAAATCACTCAGAATCCTGGTCAGTATAATATGAAGTTTGAATATTAACAGATAAAAAAATACAATCAGGCCATAAAATACATGAACTGACATTATTATTGATTGGTTTATATATCAGGTTTTCATGACAGCAACCAAGGGAGTAAATTGAAGGAGAAAGAGAAAGCACGTAATCAAACCCAAGCAAAGTAGATTACTAGTACTAGCTACTTTTGGGCTTTAGGCACAAAAGATCAGATCAACCAACATATAAAATCAAGCAGCACTTTTAAATTTTAATTAATGTGCCTCAAGATTATGCTGTTGTAATTTGTATTGTTAATTTTGTTCTCCAAAATATAATTACATAATATGCTGCGGACTTATTATATCTAATGATGTTCCAAGAGGAAATCCTGCTAGCTTAGCACTGTTGGAATTCTGGTAAGATCATTTCGGAACAACTTGACTTGTTCTATTGAATTCACTTTAATTTCTATTTGTAAATATTTTTAGATGTTTTTATCGTTTTGTCAACAAGCTTCTTATCTTTCCATAGTATGAGTATTACGTTTAGAGCTGTCGAAATTTGACAAAATTAGACCCGACCCGAAATACCGACTTAAACTCGATTATTAACAGACCTATCTGAATCGAAAAAAGGGTGACCCTGACCTGACCCGACCCGACCTGAAACCAACTGTAGACCTGAGTTGATCCGAGTATGTGAGATCAAAACCCGAACATGAACTGACCTGGAGATGACCCTACCCGAATGTAACCTGTAAATTACTGACCTAAACCGAACTCGACTTTAACCGAAATTGACCCAAACCCGTTTACCCCGTCAAAACCCGAATTTAACCCGACTTGATAGTAACCTGACCTAAATTCAACCCGACCCAAATTTAACCCAACCTGTTACAAACCGGACCCGAAATTAACCTGACTTGTTATTGACCTGACCTAAATTCAACCCGACTTGTAATTGACCTGACGTGAATTTTACCAAACCTATTACTAACCCGATCCAAAAATTCAACCCGATCTATTACTAACCCGAGTCGAAATCAACACAACTTGTTATTGACTCGACCTAAATAAAACCTAATTTGTTCCTGACCCGATTTCAAATAACCTCAAATGCAATTTAGACCACCTCATTATTGTTGATCAAATCATTTTGTCTAAGGAGACCATGTCGGTCTAGGCCAGCAAAAAAGGAGCATCATCCTCAAATTTAAGAGTTAAATAAAGTATATATTTATTATATTGTCAAAAAAGATAATTATCTTCCTAAATTATAGACTATAGTTCCCTAGTATATTTCCATATATATTATAGTCAAAGGAAATAATTAGCTTGATAAAAATGATAATTATCAATTTATAATTAGTTGAACCCGAATATAACCTAACTTGGAAATGACCCGACCTGATTGTAACCTGCAAATTATTGACTTGAACATAACCGGACTTGAATCCGAGAATGACCAGAAGTGGAAATGACCTAACCTGATTATAACGCGCAAATTATTGACTTGAACCGAACGCGACTTGAATCCGAAAATGACCCAACTTGAAAATGATCTGACCTGATTATAACCCGCTAATTATTGACCTGAATCGAACCCGACACAAACCCAAGAATGACCCGACTTGATTCTAACCTGCATATTATTGACTTGAACGAACCCGACTCGAACCTGAGAACTACCCTAACCCAATTAATCCATGAAAACCAGAATTAAACTCGACTTGTTATTCACTCAACCCAAATGTAACCCGACCTTTTATTAACCCGACCTTTTATTAACCCGACCTAAACACAACCCAAACCCGATAAGAAGTATGACCGACGTGACCCGACTCATGCATGACCAAATCAGACCCTCATAGGTTATGGAATTAATCCGAATTGACCCGACCCACTCTTATCAACCCAAACCCCACCCGTTTATCCGAATTGACAGCTCTACCCGAAACCTCCTAAATTTCTCGAAAACCGTGGATATTAGCCTTCAATTTTGGAATTTTTTTAACTTTTTTTACCCGAAAATAAAAATTGCCGAAATGTTTACCAGGATCCCTAATACCCTCCGGGAGTTCGACTGGCTAGGTGGAACCATCCATTTGGCTTTAAACGACCAATTAATCAGTTTACAACTTGCAACGATTTCATTAACTCAAGCCTACCACGAACATTTATGACAACATATAATGATCATATATGGTTCCAAACGGCATTATATCACCCTGAGATGTATCCCTTAAATTATCGAGACTTTTCGACACCAGGCCTCGAAACCTTCGAAAATTCTCAAAAAGCGTGAATATTAGGCTTCAACTTTAGAATTTTTCGACTTTTTTTTCGCCCGGAAATAAAAATTTCCGAAATGTTTACCATGATCACTAATACCCTCCGGGAGTCCAATAGGGTGGGTGGAACCATCCAATTTTCCTTTAAACGACCAATTTACCGATTTATAACTTGCATCAATTTCATTAACTCAAGCCTACCACGAAAATTTATGACAACATAGAATGATCGTATATGGTTCCAAACGTCATTATATGACCCCGAGATGTGTTCCCTAAAATCTCATGGCTTTTCGACACCGTGCCCCAAAACCTCCAAAATTTCTTAAAAAGCGTGGATATTAGCTTTCAATTTTGAAATTTTTTTGACTTTTTTTCGCTCAGAAATAAAAATTGCCAAAAATTTTACCATGGACCCTAATACCTTCCGGGAGTCCAATTGGGTGGGTGTATCCATCCAATTTTCCTTTAAACGGCCAATTTACCGGTTTACAATTTGCATAGATTTTATTAAATCAAGCCTACCACGAACATTTATGACAACATATAATAATCATAAATGGTTCCAAACAGAATTATATGACCCAAGATGTATCTCCTAAAATTTCAAGGCTTTTCGACACCGGGATCGAAACCTCCAAAATTTCTTAAAAGCGTGGATCTTAGCCTTCAATTTTGGAGTTTTTTTTTACTTTTTTCGCCCGAAAATAAAAATTGCATAAGTATTTACCGTGGTCTCTAATACCCTTTGGGAGTCCAATTGGGTGGGTGGAACCATCCAAATTGCGTATAAACGGTCAATTTACTGGTTTACAACTTGCACTGATTTCATTAAATCAAGCCTATCACGAACATCTATGACAACAAATAATGATCATATATGGTTCCAAACGGCATTATATGACCGCTTGTATTCCTTAAAATCTCAAGACTTTGCGACACCAGGCCCCAAAACCTCTAAAATTTCTTAAAAGCGTGGATGTTAGCCTTCAATTGGAAATTTTTGACTTTTTTTTTTCTGCTCCAAAATAAAAATTATCGAAATGTTTACCATGGTCCCTTATACCCTCCGATAGTCCAATTGGGTGGGTGGAACCATCCATTTTGCCTTTAAACGGCCAATTCACCAGTTTACAATTTGCACCAATTTCATTAACTCAAGCCTACCACGAACATTTATGACAACAAATAATGATTATATATGATTCCAAATGACATTATATGACCCCGAGATGTATTCTAGAGAATCTCAAGGATTTTCGATACCGGGCCAGAAACCTCCAAAATTTCTCAGAAAACGTGGATATTTTCCTTTTTTTTTGGAAATAATAATTGCCAAAATGTTTTACCATGGTCCCTAATACCTTTCGAGAGTCCAATTTGATGGGTGGAACCATCCAATTTGTCTTCAAATGGCCTATTTACCGGTTTATAACTTGCACCGATTTCATTAAATCAAGTCTACCACGAATATTTATGACAACAAATAATGATCAAATATAGTCCCAAACGGCATTATATGCCTCCGAGATGTATCACCTAAAATTTCTATACTTTTCGACACCAGGCTCCGAATCCTCTAAAATTTCTCAAAAAGTGTGGATATTAGCCTTTAATTTTGAAATTTTAAACTTTTTTTCGCCCGAAAATAAAAATTTGCAAAATGTTTACCATGATCCCTAATATTGTCTAGGATTTTGGGCCCATTGGGTGGGTGGAACCATCCAATTTGCCTTTAAACGACCAATTTATCGGTTTACAACTTGTACCGATTTCATTAACTCAAGTCTACTACGAACATTTATGACAACAAATGATGATCAAATATGATTCCAAACGGCATTATATGACCTCGAAATTTATCCCCTTAAGTTTCAAGACTTTTCAAAACCGGGCCCTGAAACCTCCAAAATTTCTCAAAAAGCGTAGATATTAGTCTTCAATTTCGGAATTTTTGACTTTTTTCAGCCGAAAATAAAAATTTTCCAAATGTTTACATAGGTCCCTAATACCCTCTGGGAGTCCAATTGGGTTGGTGGAACCATCCAATTTGTCTTTAAACGACCAATTTTCCGGTTTACAATTTGCTCGGATTTTCATTAACTCAAGCGTACTACGAACATTTATGACAACATATAATGATCATATATGGTTCCAAACGGCATTATATGACCCCGAGATATACCCCTTAAAATATCAAGACTTTTATACACTGGACCTCGAAACCTACAAATTTTTTTTAAAAAAACGTGGATATTAGCCTTTAATTTTGGAATTTTTTGACTTTTTTTCGCCCGCAAATAAAAATTGCCGAAATTTTTACCTTTGTCCCTAATACCCTTCAGGAATCCAATTGGTTAGGTGGAACCATCCAATTTTCCTTTAAACACTACTAGAAATAGGCCTATTTTCGACGGACTGGTTCCGACGGATATGTAATTCCGTCGGAAAACTCAAAAATTCTGACGGATTTTTATTCCGTCGGAAATTTCTGACGGAATAAAAATCCGTAGGAATATATGGGCTTTTAGACGGAATATTTGGTCGGAAATAACATTTTCCGACGGAATACAAATCTGTCGGAAATTTTCGACGGAAATTTCGGTCGCAACATATTTTAAAAAAAAAAACAACCTCCTTGAAAACTAAAAACCCTAAATCCCCCACTTCACTTTTCCGCCCCTAATATCTCTTTCCCCTTCTCCTTCTATCTCTTCTTTCATTCTCTCGGTCCTCTTCTCTCTCCTCTTTCCTTTCACCTTCTCATTCCTCTTCTCTCTCCTCTTTCCTTTCACCTCTATCATCGCCTCCCTTCTCCTTCTGCCCCCCTTCTCCTTCTTTTTCTTTCTCCTTCTATTTCCCTTTCGACCTCCTTCTGTCTCCTTTTCGATCTCCTTCTGTCCCCCTTATTAATATTTTCATTCATCTTCTCTCATCTCTTTCACCCACCTTACTACCCTCATTCCGCCGCAACAACACCAACAACATCGATATCAACTAAAACGGCACCAACAATGACATCAACAACGAAGGTTTTGGGTCAAATTCGACCATGAAAACTTTCGATCTAGAGTTTTCATGGTCGAATTTGG